TATGTCGAACCTATTTTCCTTCTTTCGAATACATAAAATAGGTCACCACATTGATATAATCATGTGCACAATAATTATATGAAAATAAAAACGAAATAAATCAATCCATTCCGGAATTGGTGTTTACATACGTCAAAAATCCAAAACAACAATTAGACGTGGTATTACAAGGTTCATCGATCTCCTAGTAGTAATAAATTTAGCCCAACATGCTAAAAAGAATAAAACTTAAAAGTATTTGAAGAAACGATATCACCCGAATCAATATTCACTCCGATCTTCAATTGGAGCGGTGTTTATCTCTTATTTTCTCCCTTGTTTCTTCTTCAAAATCTTCCAAAAACATGCAAAAACGGCGTCCCCTCCTTCTGGTCGAGTTTTTGTATTTATAAGACCCTAAAATTCTTGTTTCCATGAGAGTTTCGAAAGAAAAAGGAAACTAAATTTTTTCCAATTTTTTTTGTTCTATGCGACTGCATAGAGCAATTCTATGCGGTCGTATGGAAGAAGTTTTTCAACCCTTTTTTTGTTTCGGTATGGTACTATGCGACCGCATAGAGGATAATACTATGCGGTCGCATAGTACTATCAACTATGGAGAAATTGCGTTTTGGTCCTCCAACTTGCATCCTTCACTTCTTAGCATCTTCTCTTCATTCTTTTCATTTCATCACCCCATGATATTGTCAATTGGTAATTGGCCTAATTGATTTCTCAATTTATTCATCGGATCAACTTTTGGATATTTGCACTTTTGATCCCTGAACTTTCACTTTGCGTCATTTTAGTCCTTTTTCGCGTCTTTTCTCCTGAATTTCACCATGTTCATCGTTGTTTCCAAAAATTTCACAATTGTACAAGATTAAGTCACAATTCAGTCATTTTGCTCGTATTTAAGTCATGTTTGTGATCTAAATAAGTGTGCAAAAACACACTTATCAACAGTACATTGCTAATTGACAACATGTTTGCGGTACAATTGAGCTATTAGCAATGCTAATTTTTGTTTAAATTAAATGTTATCTATTATTTGTTTACAACATGATGCACATTTTTATTTCATTTTCCCTAGGAAATGTCATGTACACCTAAAACTTCTGCAATTGCGGGATATTTGCTGCTTCATTTATGCCATTTCATTGGAGGATGATAGCTTATCAAGGTAACTCATGTTATACTTAGCACTCTTTCATGCTGGATGTTCTATATTGAACGTACTAGTACTATAATTACAAAACCAAAAAATGTCGTTTTAACGTTTAGATTGTGAAAAAACCTAACAACTTGTTGCAATCTAAATGTATGGCATATTGTTGCAATATAAATTCAGCGGACGCCTAGGATCACATGCAATTCATATATATAATTCTTTACATGTGTCAGTTATGGCATAATTTTTGCAACCCAGTGAATGTACCATAAGCTTAGGATCACATGCAATTCAAAAATATGATTCGTCATACTTGTAATTCATGGCAATTATGGGCAGCCTAAATTTTTCATAACTTAAGGATCACATGTAATTCAAAGATAATTTTTTTTTGCAAATTTATAAATCAAGGTACATTTTTTAATGTAGGTTACAGAGATATGAGCTCGTCCAGACGAAGTTTGGGTACGAGAAACGAGGCTTTGGTGCACTTCCATAGGATGCGACGAAAAATGAGAAAGCGTTCCTAGATGTTGTACAGGCATATATTCTGTCAACGGCCCGCAGGGATGAATTTGTTATTTTCTCGTACTATGTAATAATACCATATACTTCAAACATTTTTTGTGGCATTTAGTCAAAACTGTTAAGTGTATTTGAAATTTATGTACAACAACCCTCTGTTTGCAATGTAGGCACTTGACTCGCACTACTACGGCATACGTCTGCACTTATTTCCAAATTTATTGACTTCTTTTGTAATGTGCATATGTCCTTGTAACCCTAAACATAGTTAACATCATAGGCCAATAAAAGTGCCCAAAGCATGACAACCGTGGTGCAACTATTACACAACGGAGTTAATGTCTATTTAGTTTTTGTTTCATTCGTCGTGTAACATGTGCGTGAATATAATCTAATCCCATTTTTGTGAAGCACTATAATTACAACCATGGTACAATTGCTGGGATTATTTTTCATAGGGACATTTCAGCTGCAGGAATCTAGATTTAATGAATTGTACAAAGATAATAAAGAGTGTTAAAGGTCCTACTAATTATGGGGAAATGTGGGATAAAGGTACTATAAATTTATTGAACCATCACACCAATTACTTTTCAAATTAACAAGGAGATTGGACTTCGTGGTTGGGTAGATGATGACCATAATTGATTTTCCTCTTCAACTTGCTTATAAATACAGTGTCACTATATTCTCACTCCTAGAAAACTTAGTGGAATAGCATTGTGAGAATTTGTGTCTCTCAAAGACACATTTCATTTCATCAATACTTTACTGCATCAGCATAATGAGTTCATCCACAGGAAGCACCGAACCGTTCAACATGGATGAGCCGTTGCCGGTTCCCGGTTCCTCTCCGTTATTTCCAATCTACATTTCCTCAGACAATGAGGAAATTGAGCTTCGTACGGGTATGATAGTCATTTCCCCTGTTCCCTTCCCAAACTTGAGAGATGTTAGGAGTGACGATGGTTTGTCATAGAATGATGTGCTTGATGCGGTGTTCGCGATCGATGCTGCCTACAAGAGGCAGTCTAAGGACTACGATGGGCTGGCGTACGTCCCACAAAATGAGGTAATTATCATCTCGTCTAATGAGTCAGGTGAAGACAGCGGGGGAGATGGTTTAGTTGTCGAGGATGAGTGAAATGCTGGACATGGAGTGTAGTGAATAAGTAGTGTACAGTCCAGCCTTTTGTAGGGATGAATTTGGTTAACACTGAACCAAAATGTCTGCATGAACATGTCCCTAAACTGTAATCCGGGTAGTGTATTTTGTGTATAGTCCAGTCCGGCTGAACTGTCAAAAATTATAGATTTCTATCTGTCGAGAACGACAAATTAACCTACATCTATATTTTGCACCACGTTCAGTGGATGTTATGAAATGCTGTTTATTATGAACTGAATTCTCTTCGCGGATGACGATGTTACAAATTATAATAAATTCCATGGGTATTGAAGATAACTTTTTTAAATGGGGTTCATCATGCGTGCAGTCCAACGACAAAAGGACAACGTCCCAATTTACAATTAATTTCGCGTAGGATTGAAAATCGCATATTGCATACTGAGTGATTCGTACAAGGTTTTACCTACTACCTTCAAGTATTTTGAATGACTATACACTTGGAGGGGTAACTGTACGTGTTTAAATACATTGTTTCAAGTATGTTACAATTATGTTGTTTTCCTTTCACAGAATCTATAGTTCACCACGTACGTTAAACTGATTTTGAGTGTTGTGCACACTTTCGTCAACTATCGGGAATCCAAAACACATCTACCGGGATAGACATTTCACATATCGGGATGTTGCATACGTGCTGAATAGAACATTCGGGTATGAAATTCGTATGTACACAGAAGGATGCCGAACATCCAGAAATGGTAATTATCACAATCTTTATAACATAACTTCATAAGGTACAGTGCACTACGGAACATTGAACATACAACGTCAATTACACTAAAAACCTTTAAGGAACTTGTGATACATTGGGGTTTGAACATGTGCTCCGATTATGACCAAGACGAGCACAACGAGTGCATTTCCTGCTCGATCATGCAGCCTTATGTCTTGAATGCTTACGTCGGTTCGGTGGTCTACCTGGAGGGCGACATACCAGTGGTGGCAAAATAGGAGTAAATGTAATTAAACTGGGAACAACCCAGTCCACTTCATGTCTAACAGGATATATAGCTTCACTATATGCACCCCTCCAGTATTCAAATGTGTAATAAGGGGAGCAAAGGTCATACAAAGACTTTCCTCTGAAGCAAGCAACACGAGTTGCATGAACACATGACATACAGTTTAGTTGGAACTCATGACACGTGCAAGTGTCTTCAGAAAAGTCAACTATGTCCACGTTGTTGGATATTCCAACCTGAGTTAAGTTGTTTGTCAAAAAATGGGCTCGAAGCCTAGTTCCACTTTCGAATGTCATTCGTAACTCATTTTTCATCCTCGGTGTCAATACTGTACTGCATTCGATCGCATTTTTTTGACGTTCATAAAATCACTTCTACATAGTACTCCTAATGTGTTCAACTAAGCAGGTTATCGGTAAAGAACGGGCTTCTCTCAACATGGAATTCAAAGACTCAGGTTGTTGTTCGTCATAATGTTGTAACGATGGCTAATAAATAGTGCTCGGGACCAAAATGAATAACTTGCATGCTCATGTACCCGTGCGCTCTTGCGCTCACCCTACGAATCTGTCCCATGAGTCTTTCAAAGTCCTCGACCCGATAAGTCGTAGTAGCTCGTTTGAATAGAAATATTGCACTTGCGTTACTATACCTCTATATTAGGTTCTTTTCGAGATTTCAGATACAACAACTATGGTGAGACAACAGAAACAACTGAGTAATAGCTTTGTCAATACTCTTTTTCCTATCTGAAACAAATACGAGGTCTTCAGAGTCCCTTATAAGCTCTTTCAAGTTGGACATAAACCACTTTCAGGATTTATTGGTTTCAGGATTCACGATCCCCCATGCTAATGGATAAATCTGTTTGTTACCATCTTGGGCAGTTGCTAGTAGAAGTGTCCCTTTGTATGGACCCTTCAGATGACTGCCATCAACACAAAAAACAGGTCTCAAGTACTGCATGTAACCACGAATACTTGCACCAAAAGTTAGGAAGAAGTAATGAAACCTATTTTGAGAATCAAGTTCTATGTGGGTTACTATCCCCGGGTTACTCTCTCCTACGACGTGGCAGTATGAAGATAATTTCTGGAAACTAGCTTCCGGTGTACCGTGTAGCATAGTTAAGGCATAAAGCTTTCCCCTACGAGCTTTGTTGTAATTGATTTTCACACCAAACTCACGTTCCATATCACGTACAATAGCGATAGGGTCATACGATCAATATGGAGTGTCCAGTTTCCCCAAAATGTGCTCGGCAATTACAGAACTAGTGGCATGTCGATGTGCGTTACGACGAAAATCAAGGGAACACGTGTGCACGTTGATGAATTTACGGATTATGAAGATTGCAGATTGCTTGACAGTAGAAGGACGTAGCATCCACTTGCAATTATCGTCCACGTATACAACGGTTAACATTTTCATGTTTGACCTGCTCACCCGAAATTGGAACTTCTCTTGCAAAGCAAGAATACGAATCTTCGAGTACAATTGTTTCTTTCTGAAGAATATTTGGTTTTTAGCGAGAACGACGGCTATAATCCACTCATCTGTGCCCAAACTCATGGAATTTGATGACATTGGTTGGTCAATTTCAGCAATAATAGCATCATCCGTACCATGTAACTGTTGTCTAAGTGCTCAACGGATGTTGCAGCCTCGATATGGTCAATTGAAAGTGCGGGTGCTTCGTTGTTCGACCCACTATGCTGATGATTGAGCTCACCATGTCTTAAACTCTGGGGACATTCCGTTCGACCGAGCTGGTTCTTTGTACAATTTGCTTCCCTCGCCATGTCAACACTCAAGACCTCGGTTTCCATAATAGTGATGCAGAGTGCAGTCTCCTTATGAATAGATATGTACCAATTTAGGTCCTCATCGTCGCGTATCTCTTCCAGAGGTATATTCAAATTCGGGACTTTGAACTTCAATTCGATTTCATTGCGGGGTTCAACAATACCAAGTTTGTCCTTCAATCGTAACACAAGTTCTGCTATGGTAATGCTTCTCGGTGCTAAAATGGAAGTCGTTTTGTCCCCTCTCCACTTCCATTCGTCATCCATGTGAACAAAGTCCCCCTCACGCGACACGATGAATCTCAAATCCTGAGCTATACCTCAAATATTGGGAATACAAAAGTTAGAATTCTGCACATTCATATGTCGAAGGATTTAATACAGTTAAATTGGCGCATTACAATACTTTAATCCATGTAGTACTAAAAAGAGAAAGCTTTTTAGGTGTCAAAATCGGCAATTGAATTCTCTGTCCATCCTGACAGTTACTAAATGTCGATTTCGATAGTTAAAATGTCTAACCCGACAGTTTCTACAAAACTGCTCAACAGTTGAACGGCATAAGTTTCGAGGAAGCTAAAGTTCATGTGTTCAACTGTTTCAGGAATTTATTGCAAAACATTAATGGTCATAATCAATTCTCAACTACAACATCAACTGATCTTCCCACACATAAAGAAAGTATAACTCAATACTTTATTAAATATGGAATTGCATATGGAATCCTTCATATTTTGTTGTGAATATTGGTATTTTTTCCCTTTCTAAAATATACCAAAAATAAAATACATCAATGAATAAGAGATGAAATATGGACAATTAATTTTGACCATGTTCTATTGAACATTTAAAGTAGTCAAGTATGGCATGAAAATATTTATTTTCTACTACCTCACATTTGAAATTGATCAATGGCTTTCCTTCATGCGTTGTTGATAATGGAAGGGGGATGAAGAAGAAGAAGAAGAAGAAGAAGAAGAAGAAGAAGAAGAAGAAGAAGCTATTTCAACTCCTACGTGTGTGTGTGTTCTTTGTACACATTCCACCCCTTTTTTAATCAAAAATTCATATTATACAATATAATATTCATTTCTTCAATGTTAACAATAAAGATAAATAAATGTTGCAAAAGGTCTTTTGCATCGTTTTTTGACTGATGCAAAAACCATTTTTAGGTGCAGTGTCTTTCGAAAGTGATGGAATATAATATAAGGCACACACGAGTATGCATTAACCTGATCAAAGACAAATGGAATTATTTAATTTTCCAAAGTTATTAATCATACAGATTAGCATAATTGGCTATTATTAGTCAAATAACAAGAAGAATCTTGACAGCCTAGCACTGAATTCAATTGCTTCTGGCTGTTGCATTATCACATTGTTATCACTGATATCCAGCACATTGGTTTTCTAATAATTAAGTTAAATGATCCATGTGCTTCAATTAATTGTAGGTGCCTGTTGTGTTTACCTGAGGCCTGACTTGTATGGTTGATTGAGAAAAAATCTTCAAAATATATAGTTGGAGAGACAGATTAACAGAAATGGGAATATTGAATTTATTATATGGATTAACAATGATTTACAAAATTATATGAGCATTATCACTAAATTAAGACTAGTGGCTCAGGACATTAAGGAGAGAAACTCTTATTTTGACTAGACTCCTAAAGAAGGCTTCTAAATTCTCTTCAAGTTCCTGGATTGTCCTTTCTGATGCATCCAACTGCTTCACGACATCTTTCACAGATACTGTATCCATGTCTTTTCGCAATTTGTTGATGTTCAAGGCATACAATTCCTGAGCGTTGCTCTCTTCTTCTGTTTCAGAATGTACGTGGTTCGACTGGGTAAACTTGGAAAGAAGGGACCAAGTTTTTTGCTTTGAGGCAAAAATGGTCAATGCAGACTTGAGTACAGAAAAACCAATGACCTGTGATTCTTTTAGAACAGTTGCAATGCCCTTAAGATTGTAGTCTTTGTTGGTAGAACTTCGTTCGAAACCCTTCAAATTCTTGATGCACGTTTTAACCATTTTGTCAATATTTTTCCTTGAAGTCATATATGCATCAATGCCTCTATTTCTCCTCAAAGACGATTGGAGTTCTTGAATAGATTCCTTCATCAAAGTTATAACATCTCGAGCAATTCCACAAATGTCGAGAAGCTTGAGAGATCCATCAAGCAACTCACTGGGAAACATTTCGTCAGCGAGGGCTTGCTGGAATGATGGAAGTTGAATCGAATTATTAATATCTTCGTGCAAATCTCTGACACTCGCCAACTGTGTGCATGTGAAAGAAGATGATACTGATGCTTCTTTTGAGGACTTCAACCTGCATAAATGATCTTCAAAATTAGAAATTGCTGGATGAGATTTAGAGGGAAAACTGTTTGATCTAACATGGAAAGCCATTTTTCTTTACTGAAGAAATGGTTTTTAAGACTTTTGAGGAATTTGAGTATTGAGGAAAGATGTTTAAGCAATCCCTTTGGCACCATCTATATATAGAGAGATGAATGAGAGAAAACAGAAAGAATATGTTGCACATCCAATGTCTCATCACCGCTGGAAACCCAAATAAATATTACTGCACATGAGTTTCATGCTCCAAGAATCCGAGACAGAAAGGGGACAACCCTTCAATAATTTGTTGTTAACACTTAATGCCAGCAGTTGAAGCTGAAAATTTGGATCATGCAGATCTCGGTGACATGATGCTTCATTGTTCTTGAAGCATGAGGAATCTTGACAGTGATGAAGTTCATTTAATAATATATTAATCATTCAAATCAAGAAGGCCAGGTTGATGCTTATCTACTGACAATGAGTGAAATATATTATGGGCGCACACGAGTGCAACCAAACAACAATTTGGATCCTCTAATTATCCAAAGGGAGTAAGAAATTAAAAAATTAAGTGTTATATTGGGTCTCTTAATTGATTTCTGCTGGTCATTACTTGGATCTTGTATGAGATCCTGCTAATTCATGTCCATAAGGAGTTTTGGCATGCATTTGGCTTCAGTTGGTTAGTTGGATAATAAAATTTTCAGAATTAGCATTGATTAGTCTCATTGGTAAATTAACCACATTCAGAAGAAAGGATTCTGCATTTCACTTAACACAGTTTTAAACCATAAAACCTGGGTCTCTAGTTGATGGAGGAATAGTATTTCTACAATCATAGACTGACTTGTTATAATGCTTAAGGCTTCCATATAAATTCTCTAAGCTGTTTGTCCTTAGCCTATGCTGGTGGTTTTTTCATTGGTCGTTATCTGGTGCATTATATTTATGCAGTTCAAATGATAATACTTATCTAGTGAGAATTATGTTCGCTGAACTTTTTGTTATCTTGTTTGCATCAACAGACTGCCATGGATAAAAGAAGTTGGTCTTGGAGGAGAAAATTGAAGTTCAAAAATTGAATCAGTAATGCAAGTTAAAGTTAATTTGTCTTGGCATCATAGAATGCGTCAATTTTTTGCTGTTTTTCATCACATTTTTTATCCTTGACATTATTTGATTAGGTTATTGGAGTAGTGTGTCATACATTTTAATAATGTCACATACTGGTTGTTTATTTTAGTTTTGTTCTTTTTGAAAAGGTCACATACTTTTTGTTACTATTATTATTTTTTATTTGGGATTGTTCTGATGCCAACATCATGTTAAATGCTCGAGTTAGATAGACTGCTTTTGCATTCTACCCTAGGGACCTTGTCACTGACTCATTGCATCGTATTTTTATTCTCAGCTGAATTTTTTTATTCATTATAATGTAGAAGACTGGAATGCCAACCCCTAATTTGTTTTAACCTTTGTGGAAATTCTACATCACTAAACCTAAACTTAACCTTTGTTTGTTCAATTCTCAATGGTAAGAACAAGGTCAATTTTTGTATCAATGGTAAGAACAACGTTCAAGTTTTATTCTTGGTTTATTTGAAAGAAGTGTAGTTGATGGTTTTGCAACCATGCCTGTGATTATAATTCTGGTGAAAGTTTTAGAGAAAAGAGTTGTAGTCGTGGGATGTGAAAATTCAGGCATGGAAGTGTCTCTTGATCTTTGCAACCATGATGTGGTTTATGAGTTTTCTCTTTCAACCTCATGTATTGCCAATGGTTCTTACTTATTTTTCTTTGTTTTTCTTCTCGATTATAATTGGTGCAAATGTTTAAAATGTGGTATCTATCTTTATCTCTTTTTTTTTTTTTTATAGGCTAGGACCAATATTTAAGGCACAACTCATATCGAAGATTGTTGAAAAGAAAATTAAGGAGGCCGATAGGATGGTTCACACACTACTTAATGGTTTTTTCTTTTTTCTTTTCTCTTTTTTTTTGGGAGGGGGGAATGTATTGGATTCTGAGGTGTTTTAGAATTTTGGATCTGGATTTTGTACGAATATTGTTCCATTTTAGAGTTTAATTAATAAAAATTATTGGAGTTATTTGATATAATTATTTTCTATTATATTTTGTAGTTGATATATGTGAACCACTCTACAAAAAAAAAAAAAAAAAAAGACCTACGGCAACGTTTGTTGAACGTTGCAAAAGAGAGGCTTTTGCAACGTTTAAATAGACGTTGCAAAAGACTATATTTTACAACGTTTAAACAAAAGTCTTTTGCAACGTTAACAAACGTTGCAAAAACTCTTAACGTTGCAAAAACTCTTTCCTCAACAGCAACATTAACCTTCGCAAATGAAAGCATGAGCTCGTCCAAAAATGGACGAGCCCGGCTCGGCCCACAAGGTCGAAGCTCGTGGGCCGAGCCAAGCCCGGCTAGCGAGTAGACGTCGTTTTTCATTTTATTTTTTTTTGGAATAAATAGGTAATTTGAAAAATAAAAAAGTAATTTTTTTTAACTAAAAGAGATATAAAAAATAAAAATGAAAGCTTTATTTTTTTTATTTTTCTTTTTAAAATAGATAAAATATAAACCATTCTCCTTTATCCGGGCTTGGGATCGGCTACTTAAATTTTCAATAGGCGGAGTTAAAAATTGTAGACGAACAATTTTTTGTAGCGTATACAATTTTTTAAAGAAAATTAAAAGTAACGATAAGAAAAGAAAAGTTTCATCAATATAATTAAATCAAATATCACTTACTTGACAACATGCAATTTCGGCATATTTATCTTGTAGTCGAAAATGAGCGTCCTACCAATCCTTAACGCACGTTAATGCTTCTAAAATATCTTCTTTCAGTCGACTCCTGACCTCGCTCAAAACTCTTTTATCTGCACTAAAAGCAGACTCCGAAGCAACAGTGCTAATTGGATGTGTCAGCAGATCTTTTACAATCGCAGATATAACTGGCCAACGTCGTTCATACCTTCACCAAAATTCAATTACTTCGTCTGAACTTTTTTTAATTGTTTTATCTGTTGATATATTCTGGTTGAAATAATTAATTAATTCAGCAAGCAATGCATTATGACTTGAGCTTGTAGATGTATGATGAGAATGAGATACAAATGGTGATGACATGATAGTGGCAGTGGTAATAGATGAACACATTGCAGATGAATCAAATCTATACGAATTAATGCCATGAAATAAATTAAATATTTTCATATCTTCTTCTTCAATTTCAGTGGAGGGAGTAGGTGCAGATGGTACCCCGACTAATATTGGTACCCATTCGGTTCGCATATGATTCATACATTTCACATAATGTTTGCTCTAAATTTTTATATGTGATAGGTGTATCAAATGTTAAGGCATTTGAAATTTGAACAATTATATATTTAGTTCTCGATAAATTATATCGGGGGTCCATCACGCATGCTAAAGGAAATAACATAAGCAAATCTTTCCAATATTTTCTAAATTTTAATTCCATAGCAATTATAATTTCACTAAAATCAGGGTCATTTCTGTATTTATGAAATGTTATTGCAATTATATAAAGACGTTCAAGCACCATACAACTGGTGGGATAGTAACCACCTGATAAAATCTTAGTGGTTTCATAAAAAGATGTCAAAATTATTTTTAACTTTCAAAACTAAATGCCAATCACGTTCAGTCAACATACCCTTGTCATCACTTCTAACATGTCTATTGTTATAAAAGTCAGTTCTTAAATATTCAAAACCTTCACATGACTTTAATAACAAGTGAGTAGAGTTCCACCTATGACCTACGTTGCTAACAAATGTTTTAGCATTTTGCACTCCTATTTCGGCACAATAATCCTCAAATGTTTGTTTTCTACTTTGAGAGATTGTGATATATATTAGTGCGTTTCTAATATTTTGAAATTCATCCTTTATATATTTTGAATCATCTTGGACAATTAAATTCAAAATATGACATATACAACGAATATAAAACAAATACCCACCAAAATCAGGTTGTAGTACCCTATGCAATTTTTCAGCAACTACTTTATTAACTCTAGCATTATCGAAAGTAAATGAACGAATTTTACCTTGGCAATGATATTCTCTAACAATATTAATAATAGTATTAAATATATTATTAGCGTTGTGAGGAAACTCAATAATTCTAAAAGCAATAATTTTTGTATGCATGCACCAAAGTGGGTTTATATAATATGCAGTTACAACTATATAAGCTCTTTTATTAATCCCTTCCTATATATCTGAAGTTAAAGATATGACACCCCCACCGGCGTCTGGACTGCCAAATTGCAATTGTGTTTGACAGCTTGGAATAAGTCCGTGTTTGGCCGCACATACTTTGTAATGACGGTTGAAATGGGTGGTACCAATTCCTCTTTGTCATGCCAATTTTTGTTGGCAGTATTTACATACTGCTTTTTTTGGACTCCATTGACGATTTTTCCCATTGAAATCAACTTAAAATAATCCTAACATTTTGCTTATTTTTTCCCCTTTCGTTTTCCTCTCGTATCAGGAATGTTTAATTCAGACTCTTCTTTCTGATCGTATTCTGCTTCGGGAACGTCAACATCATCCAAATTAATTGGATAATTTGGATTGCCGCTTACATGATGATGAAGACCCAAATTTGGAATATTTTCAAGTAGGGGTACGTCATTTATTCCTTCAAATTGATTCTGAAATTGATTTTGTGGTGTCATAGGCAATTCGTTTCCTCCCACACCGAACAAGTTTTCGACAAATGAGCGTGGATCCATTTGTTTAGTTGTAATAAGTAATAACTAGTAGAAGAATAATTATATAAATGTAGTGAGAAATAAAAATTGAATGAAATTTCAATAAATATAGTGAGAACTGAGAAATGAGAATTGAATATTGTATAAATTGTCTATTAAAATTGTAAGTTATCAACACAATACAAGAAAGTTGAGAGAAAGATAATTGAGAGTTGAGAGAGAATTGTAAAAAATTTTGTAACTAAATGCCACTATTTATAGAAAAAGAAAAAAAATAAAATATAAGAACCAAAACGGTCACTGAAAAAATTCAATGACCGTTAACGGTCAAAAAAAAGGAAAAAAAAATTAGGGGACTGAAACGGTCACTGACAAAAGTCAGTAACCGTTGATAAAGTGACCGAAATGGTCACATTTAAACACGAGCCCACGAGCTGGCTCGTGGCTCGGTTTTTGTGCGAGCAGAGCGGGCTCGCTCTCCCACCGAACCGGCTTGCTCGGCTCGCACTCGGGCTCGTGTTTTTACGAGTCCGAGCTGACCACAAGCTCCGTTTTCGTGAGCCGACGAGCTGCTCGACCCATTTACCACCCCTATTCGTAACAGACGCTAAAACGTTGCAAAAGGTCTTTTGCATCGTTTTTTGACTGATGCAAAAACCATTTTTAGGTGCAGTGTCTTTCGAAAGTGATGGAATATAATATAAGGCACACACGAGTATGCATTAACCTGATCAAAGACAAATGGAATTATTTAATTTTCCAAAGTTATTAATCATACAGATTAGCATAATTGGCTATTATTAGTCAAATAACAAGAAGAATCTTGACAGCCTAGCACTGAATTCAATTGCTTCTGGCTGTTGCATTATCACATTGTTATTATTAGCTTTCTAATAATTAAGTTAAATGATCCATGTGCTTCGATTAATCGTAGGTGCCTGTTGTGTTTACCTGAGGCCTGACTTGTATGGTTGATTGAGAAAAAATCTTCAAAATATATAGTTGGAGAGACAGATTAACAGAAATGGGAATATTGAATTTATTATATGGATTAACAATGATTTACAAAATTATATGAGCATTATCACTAAATTAAGACTAGTGGCTCAGGACATTAAGGAGAGAAACTCTTATTTTGACTAGACTCCTAAAGAAGGCTTCTAAATTCTCTTCAAGTTCCTGGATTGTCCTTTCTGATGCATCCAACTGCTTCACGACATCTTTCACAGATACTGTATCCATGTCTTTTCGCAATTTGTTGATGTTCAAGGCATACAATTCCTGAGCGTTGCTCTCTTCTTCTGTTTCAGAATGTACGTGGTTCGACTGCGTAAACTTGGAAAGAAGGGACCAAGTTTTTTGCTTTGAGGCAAAAATGGTCAATGCAGACTTGAGTACAGAAAAACCAATGACCTGTGATTCTTTTAGAACAGTTGCAATGCCCTTGAGATTGTAGTCTTTGTTGGTAGAACTTCGTTCGAAACCCTTCAAATTCTTGATGCACGTTTTAACCATTTTGTCAATATTTTTCCTTGAAGTAATATATGCATCAATGCCTCTATTTCTCCTCAAAGACGATTGGAGTTCTTGAACAGATTCCTTCATCAAAGTTATAACATCTCGAGCATTTCGGCAAATGTCGAGAAGCTTGAGAGATCCATCAAGCAACTCACTGGGAAACATTTCGTCGGCGAGGGCTTGCTGGAATGATGGAAGTTGAATCGAATTATTAATATCTTCGTGCAAATCTCTGACGCTCGCCAACTGTGTGCATGTGAAAGAAGATGATACTGATGCTTCTTTTGAGGACTTTAGCCTGCATATATGATCTTCAACATTAGAAATTGCTGGATGAGATTTAGAGGGAAAACTGTTTGATCTAACATGGAAAGCCATTTTTCTTTACTGAAAGGAATGGTTTTTAAGACTTTTGAGGAATTTGAGTATTGAGGACAGATGTTTAAGCAATCCCTTTGGCACCATCTATATATAGAGAGATGAATGAAAGAAAACAGAAAGAATATGTTGCACATCCAATATCTCATCACCGCTGGAAACTCAAATAAATATTACTGCACATGAGTTTCATGCTCCAAGAATCTGAGACAGAAAGGAGACAACCCTTCAATAATTTGTTGTTAACACTTAATGCCAGCAGTTGAAGCTGAAAATTTGGATCATGCAGATCTCGGTGACATGATGCTTCATTGTTCTTGAAGCATGAGGAATCTTGACAGGGAAGAAGTTCATTTAATAATATTAATCATTCAAATCAAGAAGGCCAGGTTGATGCTTATCTACTGACAATGAGTGAAATATATTATGGGCGCACACGAGTGCAACCAAACAACAAATTGAATCATCTAATTATCCAAAGGGAGTAAGAAATTAAAAAATTCACTGATATACTGCTATTATAAATCTATCTTTGCCCCATTTTTACGTGTTAAATATATTTTAACTTTCTAATTGTATCCTATAGATAATCCTGAGATAAACGAAAAACGTTATTGTTAATCCACTAAATATTCAATGGTAAAGGACAAGCAGAATCTTGACAGCCTAGTACTAGATATTGATTCTGGCTGTTGAAATTTCGTATTGCTTTAATTGCGTGAAATTAAGCACATTTTCATGCCAAATTCAATTGATCCATTATTTGCAATAATTTAGGTGATTTATGTGTTTAAATATACTCTAAAGCCACTTAAACAGATGCACTTATGGTGGGTTTTGTAAGGTTAACTTTACAGTATTTGACTACTAAAGAAGTAAAAAGGCCAAAATTTTGTCCATGACAGTGTACAAGGCTTGGTCGACGGAACTCGGAAATCAGTGACCCAGGTTTTTGCTTTGATGCGAAAGTTGCAATGCAGACTTGAGTACAGAGAAGCCAATGCCCTGTCACATGTGCTGCTTTTATAAGCATGCTTGCAAGATTGCTGTCTTTATTTAAGAACACCATAGAACGTTTGTAGAAAAATCTCCAAATTTTTAGTGCACTTTTTAACCATGCTCTTGAACTTTTTTCTTGAATTCATGTATGTATCAATCCCTCTATTTTTCCCCAAAGATGATTCGAGTTATCAAGAGATTCCTTCATCAATAAGATAACATATCGAGCAATTCCACGTGTTGACGAGCTTGAGAGATCCATCAAGCAACTCACTGTCCTGATCGATGATGACTTGCTGGACAGATGTAAGCTGAATCAAATTATTGATACCTTCATGCAAAACTCTGAAGCTGGCCAACTGTGTGTGTGACTTTGGCAATTATTTTTTAAGCTTATAAGTTGGTCAAACATCATTTTTTATATCACACATTCTTTAGGATCCCAACTTTTATCTACCTTTTTATCACACATTCTTTAGAACTCACTATCTATAAGTACTTAAAAACTTAGCCAAGCAAGTGCTGAGTAACCATACCTTATTCCGGATTTTGTGTCCTTGGAGGAGAGTCTAGGATTTTGAAGGAACCCCGTTAGCTAAGCTTAGTGATATAGAGATTACTTGGATTGGACTGCCAAGTAAGACTGCCCGTGTGGAGCCTAACAATCTTGGATTCCCCGCAATTGGCTTGATCAGGTCCGATCACCTATTGTGATCAATCAGAAACTTGAAAATAATCTATTCTGGCACAAAAGATATTGAATACTTGTAAACAATGGTTCAACTAGAATTATTTTTGGCATCTTTGGTACGTAATAAATTAGATAAATTAGACATAATAAAAAAGTACAAAACATATGAAATGTTTGCCTTGTATCCAATCTAAATAAAAATAATGCTATTTATAGTGAAGACCAACGGCAGTCACTCTACGTGATACTCACATGACAATTTTTATTTATTGTATGAGACAATAAAAAATTGTCATATTAATACATCAAAGAACATGCTGCTATGTATGACGACTACCGATAATCTTCAAGATGAATGGCATCGCTCTCTAAATAAAGGTTTTAAACACATCCTTTTTAACTTATGGACTGGTTTATATAGCACCACTTTAAGTAGCTATTTTGGTCGAGTAATTAGTTTCTGAGCTTGGAAGTGACGCTATTTAGGTATCAAATGTCTTTCTACTGATTTTTAGTGTTAATGGTCACTCGAATTATTCTTATATTTGCACTTATCATATATTTGGAAAATTACAATAAATGGTCTCATACCTTTGACCATCTTGCATTTTTTGCCTCAAACGTTTAAATTAAGACTAACATCCACAACATATGCATTTTTCGCACAGTTGATCTTTTCGGATGGAAATGGAAGTTAGTTTTGTGAGTGATTTACATTTTCTTTAAAAGATAAATTGCATATGTAATCCCAAATTTCATAAAATTAGCGATCTTGTCTCCAAACTTCGAGAGATTAAAAGTAAATCCATCTTATTAATATGTTTCTAAAAAGAGTTTATCCTTTGTCTTTAAATAAAATGCTAAATAAAAACAAAAATAAAATAAAAATCATCTCCTTCCAACAAGTTTATCGAAAACTGCCATCGTGCCGTCCTCATGATCACATTTCTCATCTCAATCAAAATCATTTCCCTTTACATCTACCACAACCACTAGACCATGTCCACGTGACCTCATCCTCTCGTTGTCGTTACCACCACCACTATCAAGCACAAAATGATTGTTATGAATTGGCGCTTTTCGAAAATGGTAAAAATGAGGTGGAGTGGCAGGGCTGCAACCAGGAGGAAATTGATGAAGATCGTGATTAGTGTTTTATTTTTTAATTATTTGTTTTGTTGGAGGTACACTCGTTAGATTGATTTACTTTTAAGGCTAATGATCAATTTCCTTTATTAAACAGCACGTTCAAGTCACATGACAGATCTAATAGTAAAGGGTGACAAAAACTATTAGTAGGGACTGACTTTTTCATTTATCTCTATCACTTAGCCTTAGTGAGCCTAGCTAATCGGCAAAAAAAGGAATAGAATTTCTTTAAGCTTCACTCCGCTATCAGACTAGTTGCGAAGCATTTGGATAACTAAAGTGGAATATGCCTCAACTATTTGCCCAGGATGAGACCATTGCAGCAACTAGCACGGCCAAGTCACCAACCTATGGCTTCGTGGAAGCCGTCAGGGAAGGCCCCGAAAGCACATGCAGGATAAGTAGGTGGTTAAGAAGACGGTCTAAAAATGGGTCGGGTCCAGAAAGATAACTCTCAACAAAAAAACGAAGCTGGAACTAATCAATATCAATAGGAAGCTAGGAATCTATTGACAAAGTTCATGCCACGACGATCTATATGGAAGGGCTGTTTTGTTGATGCATTCCTCTTCATGCAAGACCGCGCGCTGTACGCGAAAGCTTGAGGGCTTAGAGTTAGGTAAACTTTATCTTATATAATAGATTATATTCATTCTATAATCTATAATATAAGGTCAACTTGGGCATTTCCTCTCATTATATCGCCCGATAAGGCAATGCCCATGAACGGTTTGGAAGTAGCAATATAACGAAAAAAAACTGCATACGAATCGATGTATTGATATACGCTCCTCCCGATATTGCTTCATTTAACCCCATTCACTACTAATGATGACAGGACCCCCTCGGCCAAGGAACCGACCCGAAAAGAGTGATTCCTATCCCTGGATATCTACCACCTCTTACAAATAAAAATGGGCTAGCTAAGGAGCTACCCCCAATCAAGTAGACCGAGTGCTACCCCTGTCCACCGACCCTGGCTCAAACCTTTACGTATAGCCTTTCCCGGAGTCTAGCTCGACAGAAGAACACAGAAATGTGTACCTACACGTTTTATATCTATTTCTGCTTTCTTGCTCCTGCAATAATAAATAGAGGGGACCTCTCATTCTACGAGATAAATCGAATAGCCCAGCCCTCTCAAATTAAAAAAAGAACCACTTCTCAACAATCCTCCTTTCATGCCTCACCCCAAAGACATCCACACCTCTGTTAGGCATTATCATAATTTCAGTCCACGCATAAAACTAGTGGTCAGTTCAGATGAAATCCATCAAAAAGGTCCAACTGCACAAAAAAATGAATAGTTTGGGATGTTATTGCAATGATTTAAGAGTTTGGGACCAAAATGCAAGACGATTAAAGATTTGGGCACATTTATGTCAATTTCCCTATAATTTTTGCTACCTGATAATTTTTTCTCTTAAAAAGGCAAAGTTAGATTTGAATTATAATAATCTGTAACCAACAAAGGTTTAGGTGATAAAAGTTTATATATGAAGTTCAAAACAAGTTGGTAATCTAACTTGTAGAAAAATTTAAGTTTCTTCACTCATGTTTGTTTTGTTCTAATATGATTGTAAATGTTTTCAATTCTTCTTCAATCTAGTTGATAATATTCAAGAAAATTCGTACATAAATAGTAAACACATAGTGAGTGGCAATCCCTTGTTAGTTTTAGAATTTGAATCTCCACATCAAAAAATTAAGATTTCTATAAAGTAAAATAAGTTTCTTTCAAAATATTTTTCCTATTGAAATAATGCTAACCAATAACTCGTAAACAAATTTAGCAACTCAATCAAATTAATGTGCACAAAGTATCAGAAAATAAATGAATAAATTAATCTTATAAGTATACGTTTACATTGTACCTAAGATTATACCATCAAAATTGTAAAATCTAACATCTCATTGCAATAGTTTCTATACCAAAGTCGAACATGATTTAGTGGTAGGATCATATAAAGCCGGAACCAAATATTTTCTTCCATTGACACCATTTGCATTGTAGCTAGCACCGGTCGTGGGGTCCAGTAGCAAGTCCCCGGCGTAGCCCGGGTAGGCCCCTTTAGCATAGACCCCAGGGCAGGCCGAGGCAGCCTCCAATGGTGCATCAGATGGGCCCTGGTAGTACCCATTTCCGAATGGGTTGGTGGCA